GCCTCCTCCGGGGCCCAAAGGGGGCCCAGCAGGGAGGTAGCAGTTCTGGTCCTTACTGAGGAAGACAGAGGCAAAGAAGTTATTAAATACATCTTCCACCTGTCCTAGGGACACAAAGGAAGCTTTTTCAATGCAATGATTTTTCCCTGTAGCATGATGTTACTGTGCAGTTAGCAAAAAAATCTTTCTTTTTTTCCTTTCTCCTGGCAGTGCTGGAGAAAGGCAATAGGAGCACGTTAGCAGCCAAGGCTGCAGCAAAGCTGGCGGTGCTTAGAGATGCATGCAAAGGGACATTTGCTGATGGGTGACAAGATACAGGCAGTTCTTCACAGCAGAAAGCTCATTTCAAAGTGTAGCCCCTGATTCGCAGAAGTTTAGGGCTGGAAAGGACCTTGTGAAATCGTTGGGTCCAGCCCCCTGCTCTGGCCAGGAAAGACTGCAGGGGTCAAATAACCCCAGTGAGGTGTGCGTCCAGTCTCCTTTTGAAGATCTCCAGGGTCGGTGCTTGCACCACCCTGGCTAGGAGTCTATTCCAGTCCGGTCACACGAATCATGAAGATATTTTCCTTTATATCCCGTTTGAAACCTCCTTTTAGGAGTTTATGACCATTGCTCCTGGTTTTCTCCTGGGGCATTTTGATGAATAGTTGCTCACCGAGCCTCTGATGCTCTCCCTGGATATATATCCAAGCTGCCACCAATTCCCCCCAAAGTCTTCTCCTTTATAGGCTGAACAGTCCCGTATCTGTCAGCCTGTTCTCGTATGGCTTGCTCTTCAGGCCTTTAATCATACGAGTGGCTCTTTTCTGGACTCTCTCCAGCTCCTCCTTGTTGAACTGTAGCACCCCGAACTGGATGCAGGGCTCCAGCTGTGGTCTCACCAACGCCGAGCGGAGCAGGAAAATCACCTCCATGGTTTTGCTTGAGATGCATGATGAAGCTGGGCACTTTAACCACCTGCACTTCTCAAATCACATCTCGCTGCAGTCGGCTGTCACTTATGAAAGCTCTTGCCTCTCTGAATCAGTTGGTCTCTAAGGTGCTGCCCTGTCAAAGCCACTGGAAAGCAATCCCCCCTCCCCCTGTAGCTGCGTAGGGGTGCACGAGATGCTGGTCAGGGGCCATGCGGTTGGGGGAGCAAACGCCAGCACAGGACTCACAGGGTAAGCCCACGCTTGGTCTGGCACCACGGGGTCCTTTCAGACCCCTCACAGGCCCGGCCGGAGAACGGACCTGGTCTCTCTCGGGGAACGCCATGAGCAGCGTTTTCCCGGATGCCTCAAGGTCGGCGGGGCAGGGTCCAGCGCGGCCAAACAGTGCAGACCTGGCCTGGGGGGCAGGGAATGAGGAGCGGGGCCAAGCACGGGCCCCCCACACTACCCCTCCCCCAGGCATTGCCCCCCCCAGGCATTACCTCCATCCAAAGCCCC